TTTAATGGGCTATCGAGCGCAACATTTAAAAAGGCTTAGATCAGTACTTTAAGAATCACTCAGGGCAACAATCAGAGTGAGATGAACTCGTTTATTTTTAAAGCTCGACAGAACCTGCCCACTTTTTGTCCAAAAATTTGCATTCACAGACTCATTTCAGTCTGGAACGAATCACTTAACTTAAAAACAGCAATCTTTATGCTATGAAAGAAAATGTTTGCAAACCGGTTCGGTTTATTAAATACCTGGAAATGTTTCAACGTTTCATAGCTTGTAAAGCTTGCTTAGAAAAATTTAAACTTTTCGCAAACCGATTCAGACTTTGAAATAACTTGAAACTGATCGACGTTTCATGGCTTTTACAGCTTGCTTACAAAAGCTGAAAATTTTCGCGAACCAATTCAGTCTATGAAATAACTTGAAATTATTTAAAGTTTCACAGCTTGATGAAAAGCTAGCTCAGAAAAACAACCTTTTCGCGAATTACTCATTCTATGAAACAACATGAAATAATTCAAAGTTTCATAGCTTTAAAAGCTTGCTTTGAAAAATTTAAACTTTTCGCAAATCGAGTCAGTCTATGAATTTACTTGGAATTTTTTTTTTACAGTTTCGTGGTTTTCAAAGTTTCGAATAGCTTGCTTAAACAATTTTTTTGAGAACCGATTTGTTTCATTAATTATCTTGAATTATGTCAAAGTTTCAGCTTGACTTGCTTGCTTTGGAAAACTGTAACTTTTGGCAAAAACGATTGGGTCTAAGAAATAGCAGGGATTTTTTTGAAGTTCCTTGATCCATTAGCTCGCTCAAAAAAATAACTAAAAAACTTATAAAAAACCTGGAAATCACATAAAAGGTTTCACCAGAAAAACAGTTTGCCATCGGGTTCACTTTTTGAATAAACTTGATTTATTTAAAGTTTAACAGCTTAATCAGCTTCCTTAAAAAATTATTTTTTTGCGATTTTTTTAGTCTATAAAGTAACTGGAAATAACTTAAAGTGTCATATTTTAATAGTTTGCTTCGAAAAACTTATAACTTTTCTGAATCAAATCAGTGTATGCAATAGCTTAGAAATGTATAAAAGTTTCTTGTTTTAAATAGCTTCCGTAGAAAAACTTGAACCCTTGGCGAACCCGTTGGCTCTGTGAAGTAACTTGAAATGTTTCATTTCATAGCTTGAATAGCTTGTTGAGGAACTACTTTTTTGCCAAGCTTGCCTAGAAAAACTTAAATCTTTTGCTTATTGATTCGCTCTATGAAACAGCTTGAAATATTTCACTGTTTTATTGCTTGAATAGTTTCCATATGAAAACCTTAAGTTGCGTCATCCGATTTGCTTCATGAAACATTTTGAAATATTTTGAAACATGTTTTATAGGTTGAATAGCTTGCTTAGAAAAACTTCATTTTTTCGGGAATCGATTCGTTCTATGAAACCTTAAATTTTTCAAACCGATTCACGGTATGGCCTTACTCGAAATTGTTCTAAGTTTTTTTTCTGGGATAACTTGATCAGAACAGCAACTATTTTTTAATGAATCATTTAATTATTGGAGACGGGCTTACTAGTTATTATATTAATCGAATTACATGTTTTTCGTAGTCACATTTACGAATCATTCAGAGCCATCATCGAATCTACGAAATTCTTGAATATTCTAGAATCTTTTTATGAGAAAAGTCCGGAACTCTATAATAACGATGAACTTGTTTCAACTGTAGACTGTACCCGCCCACTTTTTGTCCAAAATTTTGCGTCAACGAATTTATTTCAGTCTGAAACAAATTAATTAAAAGCACCAACCCCCAGGCTCTGAAAAACTAACTTTTCCCAAAGCGATTCGTGGTTTGAATTAGCTTGAAATACTTCAAATTTTCATAGCTCGAATAGCTTGCTTTGAAAAATATAAAGCTTTCGCGAAATTATTCAGTCAACAAAATAACTTAAAATGTTTCAAACTTTCATCGAAACATCTTGGAACTTTTCAAAGATTCATAGCTGAAATTTTTTTTAGAAATACTCGAGTTTTTCGCCATCCTGTGAAAAATTTAAGTGTTTCGATGAAAACCTTTCCAGCTATGAATTGGTTTAAGAATTACCTTAAATAATTCATAGCTTGAATAGTTTGCTTAGAAAACCCCTAATGTTTTCGCCACTTGATACGCTCTATGAAACAACTCAGAGTTTTTCAAAGTTCTATTGCTTGAATAGCTTGCCAAAAAAAACATAACTTTTCCGTGAACTGATTAGCTGTATGAAACAACGGGAATTGTTTCAAAGTTTCATCGCTGAAATAGCTTAAATTTTCATCAACTGATTCGCTCTATGAACGCAGCGCAATGCTTGAAAGCGATCAATGACCTCAACATTTAAGAAAATCTTCTGAATCTAGAATATTCTGGAATTTCTCAGTCAAAATCAAGTTAAAACTTCAGATTTTTCAACATAAGCTGGAATATAAAAAAATTTTTGGGAAAAAGTTCGAAACTAAACAAGATGATTTCGATTTAACTTCAAGGCTAGAAAGCACCTGCCATTGTTTTTCCAAAATTTTGCCTTTCAAGATTCAGTCCAGACAGAAACGAATCAGCTAAACACACCAACCACCATGCTTAGAAAAATTTTTGGCAAACGAATTTGCGCAATGAAATCACTTAAAAAATTTCATTTTTTCGTCGCTGAAATAGCTTATTAAAGAAACTCATTTTTCTCAAATTGTTGTGATCTATGTACGAACTTGAAATGTTTGAAACTTTCATAGCTTGAATAGCTTGCTGAAGACATGAGTTTTTTGCGAATCTATTTTGTCTATGCAATAACTTCAATTATTTACTTCAATCGCTTGAAAACTATAACTTCAACTCCATAGCTTGAAAGCTTGCTTAAAAAACTGAATTTGTCGGGAACCGATCCGCTTCATGAAACAACATGAATGTTTTCAAAATTTTGTTACCATGATAAGCTTGCCTACAAAAAACTTCTCTGAAACAACTTGAAGTATCTCAAAAACACATTTATTGAATAGCCTGCATAAGAAAGGATTAACTCTTGCAAAAGCACTTTGCCCTATGAAATAATTTCAAATGTTTCGAAGCTTCATCGCTTGAGTAGCTTGCATAGGAAGTTTTTAAGTTTTCGTGAAACCATTTGGCTTAAGAAACAAATAAGAACATTTTGTCATCTAAAGTTCATTGCTCGATTAGCTTCCTCAGAAAAAAAAATTCTTGGAACGGTTCGGCCTAACAAGTTTCATCGCTTGAATGGTTTCTATAAAAAACCTTCAAATTTTGCTATCCGATTTTTTTATGAATTAACTTAAAAAGTTTGAAGGCTTGCGTAGGGAAACTTAAGTTTCTCGGATTTTTTTTTGTCTAAATAACAATTTTCAAAATTCCATCGCTTGATTAGCTTATTAAAAAAATTGAAATGTTAAAATTTGTTAGTTTGATTGTCTTGCTTAAGAAAAATTTGTTTTTCTCGAACCGATTTGCTCTATTAAACAACTTGAAAAATTTCAAAGTTTTTTTTCACTTGAAAGGCTTCAATAGAAAAACAAGAGAGAAACTTTTCGCCATCCGATTCCCTTCGAGCTTGAATTGCTTGCCGATGATGAACTATCTCCATATCTTGAATTGCTTGCCTATGATGAACGATCTTTTCGCGAACCGATTTGGGCTATGAAATAACTCGAAATATTTCAAATTTTCATCGGTTGAATGGCTCCAGTTAAAAAACGAAAATTTTTGGCATCCGGTTCCCTGCGTGAAATAACTTCAGAAAGTTCAAAGTTTCGTTCCTTGAATAGCTTGCTTGAGGAAAACTGACTTTTCGCGAACTGATTCAGTCTATGAAATAACTTGAAATAATTCAACGTTTTTTCGGTTGAATGACTCCAATTGAAAAAAGAATACTTTTCGCCATCTGAATCCCTTCGTGAAATAACATGAAAAACGTTTTCAATTTTGACGGACTCAATCGCTTCCTGAAATAACTTGATATTTTTCAGTTATCTAAGCTGTAATAGCTTGCTTGCAAAAACTTTGCATGGCTTGAATAGCTTGCTTAAGGAAAATAATTTCCCGCGAATTTTTTTGGTCTATAACTTAACTTGAAATAGTTCACAGTTTCATAGCTTGAATTGCTTTGGTAGGAAAACTTAAACTTCTCGGAAAAAAGCTTGATCTGAACAAAAAATTTTTGCGAGCCGATTGATCATCGGAGACACGCTTGCTAGTATGATTAATTTGAATTTTTTGGCTAATTTCTGAATTTCATGATCTTTCTATACTAGTTATTGGCGTTTTCATAAAATTTAAGCCTCCAAATGATGTTTAGGAAAGTTGAAGAATAAAACACGGTTGAAGGCGTTTTTCATTTTTATTATTTATGAATTTCAAAAACCGGCTGATATTATAAACGGATGCCAATCATAAGTGTTGCATTGTCATAAATAGTGCTTGTGATGGACTAAAAATGCGTAAGGTTTTGAAAACAATGTTTTACAGATGATAAAATAGTGTTTTGAGGTGCTTGTAAAGTTAAATTTCGGTTTGAATTACCTCGGCTTGGAGTTCCGTCGTCTTGTTGTCCTAGACCCTGATAGAGGATGCAGTTTAACCGCCGGTTGTTCGGTTGTTCAGAAGTCAATTGTCATGATTTAAATTGATATGATTAACCAACAAAAATTATGAATGAGGCTTATGTTAATTGACAGTATAAAATTTCTTGGATCAAGTTAACATCCCCCCACCAAGCTGCTTTGGAAGGAGAGGGGTCCAGGATGTTGCTAACGTGATCCAATATCTTTTTCATTATACGAAAAAGTTCTTAAGCAGTGTAAACTGCGCGATTGTTGTAAATGCATATTTTATACGGAATCAATTTTCAAAGTTAATACGTGGCTAGCGGCAAATTCTTCAGGATTATACCGCTGATCATTCTTTTTAGTAACAGCTTCAATGTTCAAATGGTTGTGAGAAATTGTAATTGTTTTTAGTTCAAATGAAGTGGCGACAATTTCAAGAAAGAAGCCGAAAAAAAACGTAGCTGCAGCAACTCAGCAGCCATTGGGTGACATCTCGGACCGAGCAGTGAATGATGCACAGACTGAACTTGACCTTGACCAGGACACTGCTGAACAGATTGTGGGAAACGACAGAGGGAAAGCGAAAGTAGGCAAGGAGACGAAGAATATCCCACAGCTGGTGTACGCCATGGAACAGATGGAGGTGACAACATTCAAGTTATGCAAAGTTAGTACACTAGTTATGGTCTCATTCCGTCATTAGCACTTAAAGGTGTGATACCCGTAAAACGTTTTCGAACCCGCAAATCTGATTGAAAATCTATTTTGATGTAGTCTTAATGCAATGAAACCTGGCATGGTGAACAAACTAACTATATTGGAAACAGATTTTTTCTTCTTATTTACATCGTTATATGACGCACTTTGCATAATCACACAAAAAAGCAACTCTGAAAACGGAAATTTAGAAATGTGGCGGAGAGTAGAAAAGGGCATTTTTTAAATTTGCTTATATGAATTTATAGGTAGGGGCATAACGGATAAGAGCCAATTCGAATTTCGGGGTCGTAGTTTTGCCATGAACAATTTTTTCTATAAATTTCTTTTTCGAGTATTTATTATCTGAATACCTTGATAATTGTTGAATACCTTGATAATTGTTGTAAGTTTTTCTCTGAAATCAGCTATGCTATAATGAGTCGATAGCTTTTGCTAGCAATGGATCATATCGTTATCTGATTCGAATATAGTGCTGATTTAAATTATCCAGATGAAACACAAAACTTGAAATTTTAAACGCATTTTTCTCAAATTAAATTGGCATTAGGTCAAAAATGATGAAGACAAAACTTGCTTAAAGACTAGCAGAATTAGTATTGTTCAATTTAATTTGCGGAATTCGGGCCCAAAATTTACCTCAAAAACGGATAATTTATGGCTTTTTCAGTCATCAAAAATTACTCTATTACTATCGGGTCAATTACTGCAAAAACTATATCAACGTGAGCCTCTTGTGTAGCCCAAAAAAGTTTAACAAGGTATAATCTTCAAAAAAACTGTGCGAAACGTTTTAAATTATTTTTTATATAAAATATTGGTGTTTTAAATAGTAAAAAAAGGCATTTTTGGCGATAGCGTATTTGTTGATTGACTGAAAAAGCCAAAAAACGATCAATTTTTGGGGTGCGATTTTGGGCCTGAAATTCGCTTAACAATTTGTTCCAAATTAATTCTGCAAAAATTTGAAGTAAGTTTTGTTTTTTTTACACTTTTTATCTTCATTTTTTCCAACCTCATTCGCAAATATTGGTGCCACTTTCAAGGCACCTTTACAGCTTTTTGATAGCATGTGCTTTGACATTCGAATAGTAATAACACTGTTGATGCATTTTTAATTCATCAAATGAACCGAAAAAGAGCTATTTAGTTCAAACAACATCACAATAATAAAAACTCAATATATCTCGCAATTTTTTGAACTGCATAATTTAGACATAATGTGGCTTTTTGCATTGCGATTTGTTACATGGAAAGTTACTGTGGACGCCTTCAGCTTGTTATATTCCAAATTACTACTTGCAATTTGAGTCTATTTATATTTGGTACCACTTTTGCTGAATGGCATGGCAGGCAATTTATTAGCAAATGCAGCTGATTTATTCGTGACTAGTTTTTGTCGGTTGTTAAGCTTCCGTGGCTGAGGGTATAGTGCGTTAGACTCAAATTCTCTTGATTACAGTAGGCCGCAGATTCGAATCCTACACGTAGCCGAGTTTTGCTAATTACAGGGTCATTTTTACTTTTTCTTGTTTCACTTGATAGCTTTTTTTTGGTCCTGTTCTCGCAAGCGATTGCGAAGCGCAGCTTCGCTTTGTGTCATAACTAATTCATAAAAAAATTGTTTAGACTTTTTTTATTAGATGAATCGAGCCAATTAAAAACATTAATAATGCTACGGGCTTATTTTTCATAGTTTTCACCTAAAGCAAGAAAAAAGTTGGAAATCGTATGTTTTCACTTGCGAGAGCAAATGACTTAAAATCGGAAACTAGTTATTTTCCCCCCTGAACAACTTTTCTTTCTCATACCTGCTTCATTTATGCTGACTTGCTCAGTTTCTGGAATTTTAAAATAAAACTACTACCTAGTGTATATGAGGTAGTTTTTAATTTTGTCAATTATGTGTATCAAAAAAGTTTTTTTTTGAATTTGTGTCGGCTGAGTTTCCGTTTTTTTTCAACTGCAATCAATATGATCTGATACGCTTTTGAATAGTTTCGTTTCAAAACTTGGGTTTGTTAATTGGAACAGCCCATGGTTGATAAAAACCGTTATTTTAAAAATGTATGGGATTTGTTTAAAAAAAAACATTTAAATTTTTTTTTAGTTGATCAGAACTTTTTTTTTTCGTTCTTCAAAATTTTAGTTTTTCTCAAAAACTACCTTGCCAACTTTCACAAAAATTTTTTTCTAAAAAGTGGTGTCTTCCGGCATCCCCTACTCTGTTTCAATCCTACTCCAGTATCTACAGCCTTCAAAAATTGTGTGAGAGAAGTTTTCGACCCAATTTTTTGTTTTTTGGAATTTTTTTATTCTCCAAAACTACCGAATCAAGTTTAAGATTTTGGGCTCAATGGAAGGCGCGAGTTGTGGGAAGCTTTCTGCACAAGCGGCTACGCCCAAATTTTTCTACACGAAAAGTTTTGACCCTCAGAAAAGTCAAGTTACTATTTTTGACAGTTTTTTTTTCAAAGTTGGCCCTCTGGACCTGATTTTTTGATCGTTTCTGCGTTTTTGAATTTTTTCAAATTTTATAAGCGACCCGCTTAATCGGATTGCTCCTAAAATTTCTCAGACAAAAAATTGTGGCTTGCGGAAAGTCGAGTTTTTGAACTTTTGGCCGTTTTTTGCAAACTCCGATTTTACTCGAAAATTACCCGGCCACATCTCAGATTTGTGATTTAATGGAAAAAACATTTTGTGAGCTTCATCGCTGCATAAGCCTGTACGCCATTTTGTTGTCGAAAAAAGTTTTAACATTCGGAAAAGTCAAAGTTGATTATGTTGGGACGGTTTTCGGAATGTTTTTGTTTTTATTAATAATTACCCTACCAAACATGAGATTAAGGATTAAATCGAGCAAACCGGTTTTAAAGTTTTTCCGGTAGAAGCGTAGACTCCCAACTTTTTATAAGAAAACATGTCATGTCCTTGGAAACTTCCAGATTCTGACGTTTTCACTGTTTTCCAAATTTTTCAAAAAGTTTTTCACTTCTCGAAAACTACCCGGAAAGATTTCAGGTTCAATCGCAAAAACAGGTTATAGGATTCTTCTCGTTAAAAGTGGCTTCGCAGTCACGGGTTCGATCAGAAAAACAAGTTGTGGGAAAAGTAATCTACCTACCCAATTTCATTTTGAGTTTATTTGTAAGAACGGGTAATCTCCCTAACACAAGCGACTAATCAATATTTTTTGGTAGAGAAACAAATGACGTTTTGGGTTTTTGAAATTTTTCAAAAAAATATAACACATTCCATTCCACATCATTAAAACTTATTCTAAAAATATCAAACAAGTATCTCAAGCTTTTGCTTGGCTCCTAGTCTTTACCAACTTTGATTTTTTTTAGTTTTTTTAGTTAAACGGGTTCGGCTTATATTTTATTGGCTTAGTCAACTTACCTTTCGTAGTTTTGAGGGCAAGTTTTTAAATGCTCATGCTTTTTTTCAGGAGGGATGGTTCTTAAAAATTTTGATTATAAATTTTTATAGCTTGAATTTTTTAAACTAGTTTCGTTTTCCGTAGATATAGTTTTTTGACTAATTTTTTCAGCTTAATTTTTCAAAAAAATGACTGCACTCTTTTTTTTTCTATCAGCATCTTGTAATTCAATGTTTTTATTATATCGCAAAGGGTGCGAAGCTCCGCTCCGCCTCTGTGTTTAATTTGCGTTTTTTTAATAATAAGCGCAGTGTGAACCTTCTGTGTTACTTGCACAAGGCATACTAAGATTTTTCTGATCTCTTTTAATTTTACAAGAAAAAACACTGGAATAATGATACCTGCACGTTAATCAACGAGAATTTATTTTCAATTTAAGAACTAATACAATAAAATTGAACAAAAATGTGAAGACTGTAAAATTTTTGGCGTCATAGAAACTTAAGTGATAATTTTGATTGTTTTTAGGTGAAGGTTTTGATGATATAATCTTTTGTCCTGTTATTTTCTCAATTTTGCAACGCAACAAAACTGGATTCAGGCGTTAAGATGGCGACTGCCACCTATGCTCCCCCTCCCGAAGTTCGACCCTCTGACCGACCAGAGGGTTCCGTTTTGAAAATTTTTAACGACATCCGTTTTCGGCTGACCGGCCCTAAAATTTTTCTCAATGGGCTTTTCGCGTCAATAGATACTAATTTTAAGAGGTTTGTGCGCTGAAAAATACATCGGTGCTTTGGTCGCTCAGCTCAAAAATTTTATTTGGTCGTTCAATATGATTTTTTTTTGCGTTTTAAGTTATGTTTCTCAGTTTCTTCTCAATTTGATTTTCCAAACGGAAAAATTCGATCTCCCAGCATGAGAGTGCAAATGATGCAAAAAAACGGGTTCGGTTTTTGGTTATAAAGTCGATTTTAATTTCAATGGTCGATTTCAGCGAGATTTTTCTTAAATATTGATCCAATTTAATCGCGTTGGTTTGGGATCATCAAAATAGTGTCAATCAATATTCTTGTAACTCAAAGAGTTTTAAGGTAATTCATTTTTGCTTTGGAACTCAAAAGCTGAAATTTAAACAAAAAGTCCTTCGTTTTTTAATTTTTTAAGTTCATTGACTGTTCTGTCACTCTCTTTTGACCATGTTTATTAAAGCGAACCTCCTCTTGTTAAATTTTTGATGTCTGATTATATTTTACTAGGTAACTTTCAAACAGCGTGTTAAGTAGCTGGCTATTTTTAGACATTTTTCTCCACCGATCAAGTTTTATGCCGCCCTGATTTATTACACATGAAAGCTAGTAAATATAGAGTTAATTTTAAAATCCACTTTTTTTTCACCCCAACTGTCAAGTAAAAGTGCTCATTTAGTGGCACTTTTGCTGCATAATTTTGGCAATTTAACAGCATCTGTTCTGTTTGCTTTATTGGTGGCTAGTCTTTGCCTTTCATCAAACGACCATATGGCTCTTGGAAGGAGGCGAGGCTCGAACTCTCTAGCTCGGGGG